CCCAAGATATCTTGGAATGATTATCTCGACCAAATATCCTGCTAATGGCAACTTCAGGTTAATGAAGACCAAAATTAACTAGATAATTTGAGATCGGGATAGTTCAAATAGTGGGATATTTGGCAATCTCGAGCTGATGAAGACAGGCCTTAAAAGAAAGCAGAAAAATCAGAGGAGCAGAATGGTGAAAGTTTAAGTGAAAACAGACCAAAAAATATGGGTCTTATGAATTTTTGAAAGTTGTAATCACTTCAAATTGGCTGAATGGATAATTTCACTGTAATGTACATTGTAGTGCCGGACAACTTTTACATTTATTTCAACAATAGGATTAAGATTTTCAGTTTTTCAGAATGGCGATGTATGACTAAAGATGGTCTTTTCTTTGTAGAGGACCTGTAAATAATATTCTATCTATTTCATATATTTGAATAGTGCCTTAAGGGAGAAAAGGTACACAATGTATACACAAAACTGCTGATACGGAGCTCATAAGGATAGTGGATAGTATCATAATTCTCTAATTCCTAATTAATTGAAATTAATCTTCATTAGTGAGTAAATATTTATTTTGTTTATGATGGTTCAGAAGTCCAGAGGAGTGGGTGTCAACAATTAAAAGCCAAAAGATATAAAATATTATTACAGCATACAAATGTAAATAATTGTTTTATCATTACTTTCATTGATTTATTTCTGTGTTACACAAATTATTTGCAGCAAATAAAAAAAGGTTTAGAATCCATTAAAAATCCTTGTCAAGTCTTCTAATAATTACTTACCCCTAATACCCCAATGATTACAACTATCAACCTTGTTTTTTTCCTCTCCATTTTTGTTTTCGGGCAGCAATTGAGACAGTAAAAAATGAAGAAATGGAAAGCGATTCTGCTACTTTCAAACAAAATGCAGTTTCAATGTGATTGCAATTTAAATGCAGAGGAAAAAAACAAGGTTGATAGTTGAAATCCTAGGGGTATTAGGGTAAGTAATAATTAAAAGACTTGACAAGGAATGATTTATATGACTATTATTCATGAGGGAGAGGGGATGAAGATGGCGTACCTTCATGGACATGTTGTCGCCAAGTAGGGAAGAATTGTCTAGGAGATGATGTGACAAATTGGGGGAAAAGAGAGATGGAAGCTGTGATTGTGCTGGTGTAGTGTTGCTCAATGGTGTGCTTTTTTTCTAGTTTATTGGATGCCTGTAGGCATTCTTGTAGTTAAAAGCTCAAACTTGTGCTCTTTGAGTACGTTTATGCTCAACTTTTTACGCGTTTAGTTAAAAACACGGTTGCATCCTTTTTTCATTTTTGTAGAATCACAGAAAAAAACGGCGATCATAATCACATATCGTAAACTCACAAAAAGGTGCATTTTGGATCAGCGATTCTGCAAAATCAGCTATTCTGGGGAAGCATAAACGCACAATCATTTATAAACGCGTTTAAATGGGGTCAATGTAGCATGCGCAGTGCAGGTTTGCGAATCCAGCTGCAGACTCTGCACTGCACTTCTCTGGCTCCTCCAGGCATGATTCTGGCTCTGAGCCAGAGTCATGCCTGGAGGAGCCAGAGAAGTGAGCATAAACAGTACACCGTGGAACTGTGATTACGATGAGCGTTTACGATGAGCGTTTCAAATCGCTCATTCTGCCTTCAAAATTGAGCATAAACGTACCCTTTTTCAGACATCACCATCCCTTCCATGGTGGGTTGATCCATGGCCTAGTAACTCCATGATTGATCCCAAGTCCAATATTACACAGTGATTTGTAATATAGCATAAATACCTATAATGCACATTATCATTTTAGATTTTAAATTCTTTCTCTTTCACCTTAATAGAGAGGAATTAATGCCGAATAAAAATAATTCATAGGTTCTTGTCCCTCCTTTTTTTTCTTGGTATTCCTCAATGTTGCTGTTATTTGAGAAATTTTTGCTCTGAAATGATATAATAATAAATCTGAATCTGAGGACATCTTTTGTAGTCAATGAGTTAACTCAAGTCATTAACATAATATAATTACAACTTATTTTGACCCAATGAAATGCCTTTAGAAATTGAATTAAATTAAGATAATTGTTTGTGTTAAAATTAACTGAACAGCAGTTTTATGTACAGAATTCTGTCCTCAAATTTGAAATATCTGGTAGAGATACTAGGAATCAATTTACTTGGCCTAATGTTTAAATATTGGCTGCAGCTGAAGAAGAATAATATAGGTTAGCATTTCAGTCCAAATTTGAGGACCATCAAGATAACTTATTGTTCATTCATTCATCATTATTGCTATGGAGAATCTTTTTGTAGTATTATATTTGATGCCCTACATGAAGAAGTCTCTGTATTGTCAGAAGGGCATTAACTCAATTACAAATAGTTAATACCCTCAGGCTCAGGCTCTGCACAGACAATATACAAGAACAAAAGTCAATGAAGACTTGGATAAATTTTGCCACAAAATAAATGATTAACCTCTCTGTGTATGACTTCACTCATCAGTACTGTATTACCAATTTCCAAAACTGACACTCATTTGTTTTTCTTAATTTTCAACTGCCATCCAACCCCAATTTCTTCACAGGATTGTTTGTAATTTATGCATATGATTGCACAATAAATGTATAAATTATGAAACAAAGCTTTTACACTAATACACTAATGTACATGGCAATTTTGCTAAAAATTCTCCTTGTGGCAGCCTTTAACAATCTCCAGCATATTTCTTTCATATTTTTGTACTGGTCATATTCCCAAAGCGCAGAGTGCAGCAGCCAAAAATCAATTTTAATCCATCCTCTTCAAATGCCAGGCAAGAAAGGAGATGTATGTTTGCCTTCCAATCAGGTGTACATGTACATAATAGAGATCCAAGCCCTGTTCACATGTGTAGGCTAAGGGTGCCTTATATTTTCATTTTTTTCTTATTTTATATCTTCTTCTAAATTCCCTATGTACAATGTATTACTTCATGTACATCTTTCTCCTTTTATCTTCTATTTATATCTTTCCTTACTTTATTCTTTGTTTCATCCTCTTTAAAAAAAATGTATTTCTAAAAATACATTTCAATGTATTTCTATATATTTGTTTAAATGTCAATCCTTATTTCACCCCAGTGAAAAAATTACATGGGGGCTCAGGGCAAATTTGCCCCCGAAATGCCCAAAAGAGCCCCCGTAAATTTGCATAGAGTTCCATGCAAAACAAATTTTGGAGTGTTATTTTTATGCAGGCAAGCTTGAAAAGTAGCCCCCCAAAAATAAATATTAATTTTTTCCCTGTTTCACCCATCTAAATGTACATGTACATTTTCCATCCTCTTTTTCTTTCTTTGTTTCCTTTTATATCCCCTTCTTTTTTCTTTTCTTTTCATTTCATTTAATATGTATTTCTTTGTTTTCCTCCTTTTCATCTTCTCATTCTGTCTTTCCTGTAATTTTTGTTTCATCCTTCTGTCATCTCCTCTTTCTATCTTTCTTTCTTTATATAATTTGTTTTTTTATCCTACTAAAATCCTTTTTTCTTTCTGTTTATTTTTCCTTTCTTCTTTCACTTATTTCCTTCCTTTCATTTTCCCCAAATGTTGCTTCTTGTATTATCCTTCAATCATCTTCCCCTTTCTTTTCTGTTTTTCTTCATCTTTCTCCGTACTTCATCTTTTCTTTTATCATTCCTTATGTTTGTTTTTTTCTCCTGTAATATTATCTTAGAAAGGTGCGCATTTCATTATGTTGAAACCAGTAGCAGATTGTGATGTCATATAATCATGAGGTCCATTGTGCTTTTATATATACATTCAGAAACTGAGATTCTGGCAGAACCATGATTCCAAATTAACGCCCCCTTTTCTGAGTTTCAAATCCGCTTTCTCAGTCATGATGTATGAAGAGTTAATAAGATATTTGTAGGCAAACAATTATTAATTTAAACATGTTTCAAAACCCTGATTTTGTACAGAAAAAATGTTGTACGAATATAACCTAAATGAAGGCATACACTGTACATGAAACATTAAATATCAGATTCTATAATGGCACATTATTAGAAGACATGATATTTGAGTAAATCCAACATTCAGCCCTATAAAAGATTAATTTTGGCACAATGAAAATAAAAATGTTGTTTTAAATGGCTCACTTGACCGCCCTCTTACTATTAAAAAAGACATTCATATTTCATTCTTTTATGAGCGGTAGTGAAATATGCTTATTATAATCTTTGCCATTGATATTAAATTTTGAGCACCAGTTACACCTCTGTACATGTAAGAGCTATCTAACATATAATATTAAATGAATTTATTATCTTTGGTAGTAACAGTATATATATGCTGTGTTTTACATTTTGTGTGATGTGTGCCAGCTTTGACATATACCGGTATGTATGCTTTTGGTTATTGACATTTTTGCCAATCTCTGCTATACTTACCAGTATCAACATTGTTTGCAACTTTGCACACAAAAGTGTAGGCCAGCACTTTACATATAACTACTGTAAGCCCATAAGCCTATAATTCAGTGCAGGGGCATTATTTTGAAAACAATCCCTTATGCTTTTCTTGTTAGTATCTGCTGTTTGTATGCTTAATCATAGCAGGATGTTACCTTTCAACAACTGAACATGTTTTAAGAAGCAAGTGCATGTACATATGTGTGACATCACTGAATAGTTTCAGCCCACTGAAAATATGCTTTGAAGTGAACAGTGGCTAAGCTCTTTATGATCTCAGTTTTACAAGCCACCTGTACATACACATCTCAGCCAGTCACATACATCCCAACGGACGAACGGAACCCTCAAAAGGGGGAGGAGCTTAAGATAGGGAAAGGCTAGCTGTGAGAGCAGCCCTGTACTGTGTTTGTATGCAGTGTGGAGGAAGATGAATACGTTAGGACCCTAGCATCAGTGTGGAACTACTAACTGCCTGCCACGATCCCTTCCCTTCCCTTCCCGTGGAAGGCTCATAAAAGTTGGCAGTGCAGTGTCATTAAAGAGGTCACCCTGCCTATTCTACTGAATCTTTTTTGATGGGACAGACAAACTTGTTTGTTGACGATTCACTCTGGTTGGATCTTGTGCATTCCTTGGATTTTACAAACAAGAGGTGGTGGTACTGGACCATAACCCAATCCACCATTCCATCACCCACTGTGCATGCATGGGAGTGGCATGCAGCCCATCCAGGAAAGTGTCATTGTAGATGATCATCCCAGCAAGACATAAATACCATCACTCAAGAAATCTTTACAAGACGTAGGGGATGGGAAACAACTAGGTTGGAAAGAGATTCGTATATATGTGCAGCCATTGTGGCCTATGTTTGTGTAGGATGTAAATACTGTTTATACTGAGGATTGATTATCAAGTGATTGCTTGCATCTTAGTTCACTCATACTACGCTGGCTGGCTCATCATTTCATAAAAGACGTGCTTCAATTCCTGGTCGATTTAGAGTAGGAATCAATATCCAGTGCAGGTCCAAGGCTGGATGACGAACAAAATAAGTGTGCCCTCAAATTACATTTTTAATTTCAGTGCTGGCCTTCGAGCTTAGCTAAATGGGCAGCTGGCAATGTGTAGTTGAAGGAGAATCGTGTGGTTGGAGACACTTTTGATGAATTCCTGTACTAGAATTGTTTGTAAGGTTAGGAGAGGACCAAGATGGTAACTGAACTGCTTCTCTGAAATTCCATCCCTGGCCTGTATCTCCATCAGGATATAGCTGCGTGCTTTAGCTGTGTGCTTTAGCTGGAATTGTGATTCCATTTCCCCAAGTCATACCGGTACTCACTTGTGCCCTATCGTTACAGTGGACTGTAGTTGGATAGTTGTGTAGTGTTTCTTCAAAAAACCTACATCATGTTTGATAGCTGAAATTGCTGAGGAGTTGAGGCATCTACAAGACATTCTGGATTCAGTTCAATCTTTGTGATCTTTAGCTATTGTAGGATTGTGCTAGGGCTATGTGTATTGTTTTATTGCATGGATGCTGCAATTACCACTATTTCAATATTATTGGTGATAAGAAAAATATTTTTTTTTACAATTGATGCCCTGTACTGAGATTCAAAGACCATTAATCCTGCTGAGCCTGAGGCATTGTAGCACTTTGGCTGATAATGGACATTGTTTTCTTCCCATTGATGGGAGTTTGATCATCTAGGAATCACATTTTCAGACAGTCTTTGTAATTTGAAACATTTGATTGTTGAGACATGGGTGTTCCTTTAGAATCCAACTCGTCACCGCCACCAAAGGCTAATCATAATAAGAAGATGGTGGACATCGGGGGATACATGATCATGCTGGCAGAAATGAAGAACAAGAAGATCAAACTCTATGGTAAATATTCAAGAGTATAAACTAAAGGGTATATCTCACACAATCTATAGAGTTTACTGCATTTTTTTAATACTAACAGCAAACCTGTACTGGTATGATATGACATTCAGGACTATGAATACCCCCCCCCCCAAAAAAAAAAAAAAAAAAAAAAAATGGTATTCATTTATACATTTATTTGTTTATTCATTTATTTTTTTTAATATTTTTGTATTTTATTTGTAAAGTAGCACTGTTGATGCAGTAGAGTACGTTTCAATTTTTCATTCAATCTGTTATTAGTCAAATAGTTTTAACATGTTCATATATATTTATTTTGTAAAGTTTCCCAGCAGATAAAAAACAACATATCCCTTTAATAAATTGGATTGAAAAATAAAGTCTTATAGAATCGTTTTCTTCTTCTTCTTCTTATTCTTCTTCTTCTTCTTCGTAACAACCCATTATAGAGTGAGGCCCTTCTTCCTCTCTTATATCTTATTCTATAGCCTTCAGGTGTATTGTGTAGGCCTACTTTGTTGATAAAGATTGACTGTAGAAATGGGAACAAACAACATTTGACCTACGTTATTTACTACAGAAGTTGCATAAACACCCCAGCCCCCCCCCCCACCAAAAAAAGAAGAAATGAGCCAAATAACCTCTGCATTCCTTTTCCATTGTTGTTTTCCCAGTTTTGTTGGATACTGCATTTATTTACATTCAAGTCCCTATTTGTAAATTTGTTGATGTCCATTAGCATACAAGATTCAAATCTTCTATTACCACTAGTGCTTGCCTTGTCATGATAGGCAAACAAAATACTTTTAAAGACAAGATAAATGTGCTATGGATCTGTCATTGAATTGCAAACACAGTCATAGGAATGTCTAACAGCCAATCAGTCAAACTTTATTATGATTTGCCTCCAACTTCAAGTGAACTCTGGATATTTTATTCTTTAACAAAATGAAACAGTCAATAAAAGTTCACACAAACCTATTAAAGCATTCAGCTGAACTTCTGATGAACCTGGTAGTTTATTTCTCCAAAATTCTTCATAAACTTCGAGATTAAAATCATCTTACTTGTGAATGCTTTACATCTGTCTCTGGATGAAATTATTTGGCCTTTTTTCACATATGAAAAATACATTTTGGGGGCTATTTTCTCCATATTGTAATTATGGTATTTCCTGGAAAGACTATTTTTCTCATATTTTCTAATGAAAAAATATGTAAAAAAGGACCAAAAAAAAATATTTTTAAGCTCAGGATTCAGAACAAAAGATACTGTAAATATCTTTGAATATATTCAGAAAAAACATATATGTATTCTGGTCTGTTTTAAAAAAAAAAAATTTTTTAGGCTTCCATAGTTTTACATACTTTTTCAAAAATTCACAACTTTCTTGTTAGTTTTTGCTCAAACTTTTTTTGATGGGTTTATCTGATTTTTCTGCTTTAATTGAAATTAAGTTATTTTTCAAGTGGACTTGTCCTTTAAGTTCTTCGGACTCCTCCTTTTGTTTCTTGTGCTTAAGATATATTTTGAACACTTAATCACAACATTTTAGAAATAAAATATCAATCTAAAATGTTTCAGTGGTGATTTCACTGAAAAAGAGTTGGATGACTTCAATGGAAAGGTTTGTTGTGAAGTGCAAAAAAAAAAGGTATGAACTTAGTGTGTGTTTAATGCTATGCAACACTGTGCAGTTGTAGCGTAAATCCTTGTGAATTTCATTTTGTTCAGGAGACACTGCATTACTTATGAAATTTCTTTGAGGATGGTTGAGTACTTTTTAAAAGGTAGCCAATCAAAAAGTTGGTATTTCTTTTAGACACCCATACTTTGTAGGAAAACACTTGCTACAAGATAAGGAATATATCCTGTTGTTGTTGTTGATGAGTAATGGACATTATACAGTATACAGCTGTATAAACCACCACTGACCAGTGACACTAGTTGATAAGCTTCCATATTGAATCATTTTGCCTTTTAAAATTTAACTTGGAAATGGTTCAATATCTGTACCAAGCAGTGAGTCAAAGTTTTATAAATGGAATTGACGTGAAGATGATACAAATATGATTAATAAGAGGCTGATTGATGGTAGCTGATAGATGTAGTAGTCAATTGTTATTTCTTTATCAGACTCCTGCTGAGCTGGCAAGCATTGACCTTTCTTATTAATGTCAAGTATGATTAGTTATTTATTAAAGATGACTAGATTTATTGACTAATATGATAGAAAAGCACATTTGTTATGCTAAGGTAAATGCATACATTTGTTTCTAGTCATGGTTAGTAATATTCATGGAAACAAGTATGAACAATAACAAAACTAAAACTGATAACATTTATTGGTTGTAACAAGAACCAGCATCCTTGCAAATTCATTTAGAAAAAAACAAAGATTGGATTGGATAGAAAATTGATAAGAAAGAGTAAATTTTGCTTTGTTATCAATGGACTGTATATAACATATTGCCAAATAAGTTAGAAGGGTATAATATATTCACATGATTTGGGCTACATACAAATCTTTTTTGAAAACGGCAAAAAGTGTCAAATAAGCAGGCTCCTAAATATACATATACCGTTGTACGGTTTTGTAGTTTTGTGTGTAAGAATGAACAAATATTATTATGCATAATAAATATCCTCACTCCTCAGTCAGTTCATCAGTATACAGTGTAGATGTAATATTGATATAAATAGCCCTGTTCTATGTAATCACTTTGTTGATCGTAATTAATGAGAGATAAATCAACTATCTTTTTTTAAAATGTTGATTAAATTGTTGAAAATTTGTCTGTGACTTCTCATCATCTCATCTTACATTTTACGATTTGACCGAGAAGAAACGCCATGCATGGTATAAACTAGAAAGTAACATCACACCTACAAGTAGCAGATAGGTGCCAACAGTCCTAGCCAATGTACTGGAGAGAGTCACTGTACTGAGGTGTATGCTTTCATGAATAGTTTATGATTATAATGAGTAAACAAATGTGTTTGCTTTGCATATATATACATGTAGGGTTATTATCATTAATATTATTCATTAGTGCTTTTAGATAGTCAAAATACATCAGAGAGCTGGATTATGATAAGCAGCTGACATACAGGATGCTTGTGTGATTAATCTATTTTTTTTCTTCAGGATTATTGAAAGAAAGGGTTGGTGTAAGAATAGTAGGCACATCTCAGACTTTTTTGAAGAAGAAAAAAATAAGTGAAGTAGAAAAAGAAATTAATGATTTCTCAAAAAAAACATTTGTACCATTTTCCCCTTTTGTTTTCTAAAGAACCATTTAGGAAAACTTACATGTACATGTACAGTGTAAATCCTTTTTTATATGTCATAAATCATCATTCAAATCTATCTTTTATGCCTTTATGAGAAATTTATGCACACTAATCAATATACAAGTATGGGCACTTTGTTTCCACACACAAAATGACTCAAATATGTATGAATCAGTTCAAATAGCAGGATATTTGGCAATCTGGAGCTGATGAAGACAGGCCTAATATACAGAGAGTATTGAAGGCGCTCCACATGTTTTATTATTGAATTTTAGGTTGTCTGTCTGGAGACAGGATTATGATTAAGACTTCATTTATTACATAGGTCCTGAAGAGTTACATCACAGTTAGCAAGCAATACAATCTCCAGGATTATGATTAAGACTTCATTTATTACATAGGTCCTGAAGAGTTACGTCACAGTTAGCAAGCAATATAATCTCCATTCATTGAAGTGTAGAGATCTAAATGGACTTTGAACATATGTCTAAAGCTATATTAGACTGTAGTCTGCCATTAAAAATTGTTATGATGCTGAATTAATAATGTTAAAGGGCACTGTTATTCTTGCAAAGGAACATGCCTCAAAAAATATCATCTGCTAAGAGTTGAACGCCTTCTATATCTCAACAAATTATAAGACTGTATTGGTATTTCAATTTCATCACAATCATTCCTTGGGTTCCATTATTTTTCAATTCCCCTTTCATTTTATTTTATTTGTTGTTACTATGTTTATACTATTGAATGGCCTTGAGTGTAATACAAGCCAGGGTATATATATATCCCATGAACTGATGATCATATCCATTAGTTGGCATGGTGAGGGAAATATTCTCAAAGTGAGTGCAAGATACACAGAAGAAAAGCCATTCAGTAATATCATTATCAATTGTGTGAAACCTAGTATTCCAATTTTCAGAAAGAGAAATGGCAAGTTTGTCCTGTTTATTACCCATGTATTTTGCAAGGGCTGAATGCATATATGTCCAATGTCGTAGTTGATCTGTGCATAATGTACCTTCTTGTGTGTTCATGCACCCCATACCTTGAGATAATGAAATATGACCACATGGTCAATGGTCATCCAGGATATTTTCCCAAACCATGAGATATTGAAGAAAAAGTAAAAAGGTCACCTGGGTACTTTTGCTCAAAGCATTATAAATCCAAATTTTTCTGGTTTTTCATAACCCATCAATACAATAATTTGTATTCAATAAGTTTTGAAGCCTTGTCATATCTTATCTTTTTTCATTGGTCTCATATTAGGTATTTCAACTTCAAGACTTTTCATACATGTGGGTTAATTATTGATTAAGTTAATATCCTGATCAAACATGCTCTCAAGTCTCGCACATACCAGTCCGGGTTCAGTATTGTTTTGTAATAGTATTAAATGTTTGTCCTTGTTTTAAGATTGTTGAGAAGGTTAAAAACTGATGAGGACGAAAATATGATCATTCTTGGGAATTTCAAATTCAGTTTCATAAGAAAGAAATTCCCATTGGGAACTTGTATCCCTCCAAGAGAAAACTGATTTTGCATAATTATCACAATTTGCTCCTCAAAGAACATGTAGTATAGGGTCTCCCGACTCTTAATTAAAAACAAAATTATATACACCTGTAGGGCTCTTGCATACAGACTCAAATCCGGACCCCCTTTCAATAAGTTTGTCAAGTGATTTTGTTCTTCATGTCACAATAAAATTCACATCTTTCTGTTAGTTGTCCATTGTATTTTACTTATTTTGAACTGATTATCTCCTTTGTAGAAGTGTGAAAAGCCAATTATTCTTGGACCTGAATTAGCTTGTGGTGGTTACCTCTAATTGTGTCATAAAACAGGGCTTTGATGAACAGAAGTCAAATAGAAGCATCTGTTCTAAGGATTGCACTCGATCTGTACACAGTCTCTTAGTTACTAGTGTCATTAAAGAGCAACCGATCTTTGTTATGAGTTCATTTCTATGAAAGCTGAAAAATGAGAGCAACAGGGTGGTGAGAGTTGCAATAAATTTATACAACATTTAGAAAGTTATGAATGTTTGTAATTTGAAATCACTACATGTATGCGAATCTCAAATAGACATTTTGGTCAGTGGATTGTGATGTAGTCAGAGACAACTAATCCTTTTGTCGTCTCCAAAAATTTCATTGATTTCTACTTTTATCACATGTGCCTTTTCCTTTGGGACGCTACTCAAAATATACTATATATTTTATTGTAGGTTCTGTAAATGAGCAAAGACCCTCCTGAGTCATACGTTTTTGGAAATTAAAAATTTTAGTAATTTTTGTTGGAACAAATGGGAGAGTTGTGCATATCACAGTAATATCACTGATTTCAGCAAGAGCATTGAGCTGTGCCACGACCCAACCGACTGTTTAGTAAAAGCCTATTGAACAAGGCATGTTTAATAGTTACTCTACTCAATTTAAGAGCTTTGATAATGTCATCTTAACCAACGCTTGACATTCATCAACCTTGTGTCCTATATGTGAAGCGCTTGCCATTCATATTCAGCTTTTTAGTGCTGATAAGCATTCTCTTCAAACTGTGAAACCTAGATTTGCAATTTTGCTATCATTAAACACATCTCAACACTTAAAAAGTTACATTTTAATGTTTATATTGAAGCAGGCCTACATAAATATCTCACTTTGATGTATTTAAAATCAATTTTCACATTCTCATATAAATTTGTATTTTACATTGCTTTATTTGTTTCTACTTCTTTTTATTTTAGGTATTAGTGTTTGTAATCATTATACAATTAACAATTATTTACTTTGGTTTAGATGATAGGACAAAATAAAGCAAAATTACTCAAGGAATTCAAAGTCCTTATTATTAAAAAATATATGAAGCTTGTGTACTTATGTACTTGAATGGTTAAGGCCTCTACCTTATTTCCTGTGGGGGAAATTACTTTATCTCCTGTTAAATTCTTACTTTGTAATTAAAGTAACAACTCCAAGAGATAAACCATGTAAGATGGGAAGAAGAGAAACCTCTGACAGCTAGGACCCATTTCTGTCTCCTGTTAGAGACATGCTCTTGAGTATGTAATGAGCTGCTCACATGCTGAGAAATGGGAGCGTAAAAGCGAAAATCAACATACCAAGTACCATCCACCCACATCAGCTCTCCAAATACCCCCAGAGAATATCAGCTCTCATCTCCGTTAAGCATCACTTTCCAGGCACCCCCCCCCCCCCATCCCGATTCAGATTTAGATTCAGGCAGTTATCGTGTATCTGATGTGTGGTTATACCGATCATACATGTAGGGTAAGAAATTCAACAAAAATTAGCACCTTACAGGGTAGTGCATTGTCAAAAATAATGTGCAGGTGCATGAGGATTTTAAAGAGATTTGGAATAATTATCTGTTTAGAGCCAAAATGGCATTAACTCTGTGTACTGAGTTTTAAGCTTGAGTGTAAATATCCTTCTTCAGACAGAGAGTTATGTTGTATGATATTTTAAGTTATAACAGCAAAAATATCCTCTTCTTTTGGATATGAACTGCTAAGTTTGAGAAATGTCTGAATACATATCTGTACCAATCAGGATTTATTCATGCCAAATATCAACATACCAAAGACCTCTTTGGATTCTGCATTTATGATGTAAGAGTGATGATGATCGTGATTGTGGTGATAACATGGTACTACTGTATGTACAAGTAATGATGTACATGTATGTTTAATGATTTTGATTATTTGAAGAGCCAAGTTAGTGTGGAATATGCCCTTACAAAATCCTAATAGTAATACTCCTGGTAAATAACTAAATATGCACTTTAAGCGATGTGATATCAACTGTGAGGCAGGGGTCTGAAACCGAATCTGGAAATTGGCATTTATTTTTGCAACTGGGAATCCGATATCCAGGGCTGTCAGAGTTAAAACCATTCTTTGCATTTTTGTGAAAGTATTATCTTAAGGAATCACCATAGCTGTGTTTGCACAGGACATTCGTTGTGTTAAACTTGAGTTTGTGAAACCTAAACCTGGAATTGCTAAACCGTCCACAATCCACTAATACTGAGGTGTGTTCACATAGGACCAATAGAACAAGTATTGAAGGTTTTAAACTGGAAGCCTTGCTTGCAAGCAGTAATATGAACTACATATTGAGCTGAAATCACTTGAAATTAATTGTGTCCTCTCAGCAAAGACCCCAATACCTGCAATACAACAAAATTACTGTAAAACAATACTCTACTTTGACGAACAATACTATAAATATCTGTAATAGAAATGATGATATTAGAGGAGCTACGCAGTACGGGTGCACTCTATCAATTCAGGTAGCCATCATTTTGATAAGATACATTGTGCTGCAGTAGACTGTAGATGGCAGCAGAGGTGCATGCCTTCCTCTCTGCTGCTTTGTTGAATGCACAGCTGCATCATTATTATAGGCATTTACACTGCAAGCAAAATATCAGGATTTTTCTTCAAGCATTTTTCAGGCAATTATCTGTAAACAAAGAACCCAAATCGAAAGTCCACCACGGTAGTGTGGTGTTTTGGGGTCTATTATGAATGTCTTTGTTATAGTGAATTATGACTGTTGCCAAAGCTATGATTACTTGCAATTCTATATGAATAGGCACACTTAACAAAATATTGCATTTTTTACGAAATATGATGACAAGTATTGTAACAAGATCATTATAACTGTCCACTCCACTATCTAGAGTACATGTATGCTGAGTGTGAAAATGCAGCTTTTTTCTGACTACCTCTAGCTCTTCAATATCTTCCCTGAAAGCAAAGATTTTGTTGAATAAAGATGTGAAGACTTCCCATATCAAATTATGAGAAAGAGTAAGATTGCATGAGAGATAGAGAGGAGATGCTCAGGAAATGTTCCTGCATCTTAATTGAAACCTAACCCATGACAACAATCCAACAGCCGAGATGAGCTTTGGCTGCAATTGAAATGCCTCAAATTCACATACATGCACTGCGCAGTAATATGCATGATGAATGGTAATCATTATATATGTTGATAAGCGATAAATACAGAATTTATTAAGGCATAGCATTCTTTGTTGAAATTGAATTAAATTTCTTCATGTATTTATTAGGAGATATTCATATAAAGGGATTTGTTTTCTTTCAATTGGTTCCAGTGTAGTAGTTTGGTGGCATAGCGATTTGATTGTGCATTTTGTGATATAAGCACCAATTTTGGCACACAGGTAGATTAACATGTAAGCAAAACTGGATGTCACTTCAAATTTGGTCTCTGAGGCCCGGTGTGCCCATTTTCCAAAAAATTATATTCTCCTTACTGCATATAGCTCAAAACATGCCAACATAAGTGGCGCTCTATTTTTACTAGCAAATTTGTTGGGATTTTGTAGTCACATGGACTTCTGGCTAAAACGGGCCACACAGGCCCATTATTATACTTTTATAGCATATCGATTCATTTCAAATATTGAAGGTTCCACTCAAAACCAATTTTGAATGCTCTGGTTAATCTTACGGACTACAGACATCATAATGACTGACATATTTCTTTTCTTTGCAGGGTCTCCAGCTGACAGAGCAGATCTGGAGATTGGAGATGAAATCCTAGAGGTCAATGGAAGGTCATTAGAAAATGCAACCCATGAGGAGGTCATTGCACATATCCATCAGGTATGAAGATTATATCATTTAGATTTTCAAAGAAAATAAAGAAGAGCTTTCTTGGTCATTTTACTGTGCTCCATTTATTTGAAACAAAATATTAACTTAAAGTTAGTGAAGGAACCCTCTACGAATTGACAGTTGCAGAGGAAATTAAAGTAGAGTTTAAGAATTGAACTCTTTCATTTTTTATTTTGTGAAATATTGTTTGTTAAAGGCATATTAAAATGTTATGATATATATGGAGCTAGATAACTTTTGGTGGGTGCACCAATGAGGCTCTTGCCTTGATAGGCTGTCTCCTATGAAGTTATGCACTCATGCATTATTACTTTGTGATCTGTTCAATATGTTTTTGTCTATAAATGAATGTAATTAATGTCAGCTTGAACAATAAAATCAGAGTTGATTTAAACCCATTCAATTGAGAATTTTGACTTCATTAATAATTTTATCCTGTAGAAGGCAGTATATATGGCCAACAGTCAATGTGCTTTGAAGTTAATACCATGTGTTCTTGCATTCCACTTTGTCTCCTTGAATACACTGTATCATCAAATTGGATTTTAAAAAAAGAATAAGAAAATTCACATGCAATATTGTTAAAAATTGTTTGGAATAAATTCTATTGTTTTATGCTTAACATTTTTCATAGTAAGTACCGTCACATCTCAGAATCCAATTTGATGTGGAAACAATCAATCTATTTTAATGTTTGTTAATAGTATGGAGCTTGTATTGAACATTTTTTCTCTCTAATTTCAATTTTACTTTGTTTTTGTATTTAAAGACTAAGTCTTAATTTTCTACCTTGCATATATTTTGCGAGTAACATTGACATTTTCATCCTATTTTTATAAAGTGCTATTGACAACAATGGTTGAATGATTCACACTACATGTACAAGTACTATGAAAGTCAATTTCTGAAAAGCTCTGTATGACTTAAAATGGAAGTATGTTGTTTAAAATTTGTTTTAAAAATGATTATTAATTACTCCTGTCTGTTCTTTAAAACGACAATATCTAAGGTGATTGAGGCACCCTCTAAAAAAATGAATTTGCCTTGCTTGTTTGTATGCTCCCACCAATAAGAGTCTTTTATACGTATCCAAAATTTCATCAATGAATGAAGAGAACAAAGAAATTACATTAATCTAAAATATGTTGTATTTTCAGTGTGTGAAATCAAGAACGATAAATCTACGAGTAAAGAGGAGGACCATTAGAGATGGAGGTGAGTTTGAATTCATTACCTTGTGATGAAGGGCCTTGCGATGAAGGAAGGGCCTTGTGATGAATGGACAATGAAAGATTGATAACAGAGATAGGCATAGTGAAGACCTTTCTTGTTTGGTAGCATAGAGGGTGCCAGATAGTTTCAGAGAGCAGTGCTATTGAGTACCGGTAGAGTTTGGCCATAATGGTTTGAGTTGTGCACAGTATGGTCAATCAATACTGCTTTGGTGAAGCACAGAAGGAAGAATATCCACCATGTTGTGACCAACTGCAACCAAGTTGACTGAGCTAAGAGTATTAATGGCACTTTCAGAGAGAAGGCCCATACCTGGTTAACTTTAGTAACAAAACAAAAAACACACACAAAATGCTTATTCTGGTGGTCATAGTGATGCCACAGACCAAGTGGTCAGGGTTTTGCAGATTGATATTCTTAAAGTGATTGGATAGGCGTAGGCCATTGATCCGTCCGACTCGTAGGTCTAACTCATGAACCATGGTGAACATGGTTCAAGCTCCCATGGAATGATGCTTGTGATTTACACTCAAACTAAATGGGCCAGTTTGACACAGCTTGCGGATCACAAACAAAAATAGAATGACGTCATAAACATCTTCTCTTTTTATTTGTCCCAATGTATTTCTTTGTTTTCTCCTTCTATCTTCCTACTGAATTCCTTATTTTGCCCTTCTTTCATTTTGTATTGTTTTTCGTTGTTTTTCCTTCTTTCCTCTTTCTTTCTATATTGACTTTTGTATTTCTTTGTTTTTTCTTCAACCATCAACTTCTTTGTACTTGCATATTTTGTCTACTATTACCATTTTTAGTCATGTATTTCTATGTGTTTCACCTTCCTAAAAATGTCATTGTACATATATCTTTTGTTTCTCATTGTCTATTTTGCTCAATATTTCTTTGTTTTATTGGCCTCATGAATTGCCATGTTTCGCTTGGCATTCTGTTTATACATGAAAACATTCTTACGGGACTCTCATAGTTCTAAATCCTCAAATGTTTTGAAAAATGACCTAAGAGCTATCCTTGTTCTCAAGTATATAAACAAGTGGTGCACGCTCACAACTCACACTAAAAAGAAAGAAATTAGAGCTCTAACGATTTTTTTTTTTTTTTTTTGAAGTAGTGTAAACAACAGTAAAAACAAAAAAAAGGGTGGTTTTTCAAAATAGTTTTTTGGCTGTGTATTAAAGTGATCCTATTGTATTATCTATTCAAAGTTTTTCAAATTCATGTTTATACTAGGTCTACTACCTTGCATCAATCGATAAACTGGTTTGTAATATGAAATGATATGAGGACAGGAATACAGCAAAAGAAATTACAGAAATGACGCAACCTATACATATACATGTAGAAAAAAGTATGTTTTTAAATAATATGAAGCCACATTCTCTTGCGCACAGAGCCATTTATAATAGGCTTGAGATTTAGAGTAAACAAGGAAATGTCTTTATTTTATCCACTCGATTGTTGTACATGTATGAGTAATGTTAGTCATGTGATCTGGCCCTTTTTATTCTAGAAGAAATATGTTATGCCGTCATCCAGATAATAGGCATAGTTATGTGGTTGGATCAGCGTACACTGTTCAAGTTTCTCTTCTTTGTGCTCTATTCATGGGCCCTTTTTTATGCGAGCATGTTCAGGTACATGGTGAGTCATCTACTCACAAGTTGCTATTATGTTAATTAAGCGTGTCTTCAAACTATAAAAAAATAATAAAAACGTTACTTATAAAGCGCTTACCACCGAAGTCTCTAAGCGCTATACACACAAAATAGACTGATATACAATTACAAATTACAATACATATGGAATTCACGTCAAAGTTAACAGAGTTAATTAATCATCGAACGCAATTTTAAATAAATGTGAATAACTGGCAAAATCTCTTTAAAAATTCTTGAAGCTCATATTGTGATAGTATAACCACATGGAAGTACTATACAATAACAAAAATAAAAAGAAATTAAAAAAGAAAATATGTCTATATTTCTATTGTTACATTAAAAAAACAAAATATGGGAATATTAGATATTTATGTTCCTTCTTTGTGTGCATGTATGGTACACACCATCACATGAGGAGGAGGAGTTGATAGGATATCATGTGGTGTCAATTAAGCAGAGTCATTTGTACTCCACAGGTGGTGTTTATTTATTAACAGGTGGTGTTTATTTATTAACAGGCAATGCAAGAAACATTGCTCAGAGCTAGCTAGCTAGCTCAACAAGTTTTCAAGTACACCCCAGTTGATAGATTGAGGGTAATGTTGGACCAGGCTAAGCCAGTATAATGTCCCCCTATTGAGGTAAATGGAGTGGTCCTTGTCACTCTGGAATGTTAAGAATGTGGGTCTAGACACAAGGTCAATGAGTAAGGGAGCTGAGATTTTAACAACTTAGTCTTGATATTTAGTCTTCCTAAAACCTTTAATAACAACATGCAACAGATGTTATGATGCACACAAATTTTACATGCTGATTAGTCTATTTCATAGCTGATTATATTTTTTCTTATAAAATCTGAATAATCATGAACAATTGTAGAGGGATTGAATAGAATGACTGAAGTATATGATTGACATCAAAGTCTGACATGTAGACTGTGGGTGGGGCCACTCTAGCTCCATGGGTAATGTGTGTATGGGTGTCGAATAAGAATAACAGGGAGTGAAACTGCACCACCAAAATTTTGGCTCATGTCCCTGCAGAGCAGAGTAGTCTATATACTTTACGTGGTGTGTGTGCATGTGTGCCTGTATTGTAAAAGCCTATGCCTAGCCTGGCCTGCTGGAGCTTGCTCTCTTGTGTTGTTGTTTTTTCTGTCTTTACTGGAAGCAAACCACACTGAAAGGTTTCATTCCGTACTTGATGCACTCACGCATGCCTAGTAGTACAAGTTCTTCTTGTATGGTATAGGTACGTTACGCTGTCTAATATTCCATTTTCCTGGATATGATTGAGGAGCAGTTAATTGAATTCACACTTTGACAGTCAGACAGGTATTACAGACCATCCATCCATACTTGGATTTATTATTGTTGTGCTGATCGAGCTGAATGAGCCACTAGTGGTTGCGTTGCATCGCTTGATGTGGCTGCGTGCATGCATGCATTCCATTGTGATGTAGACACCAGTAGCTAGCTAGCTAGCTGTGGAGTAATAGAGGAAACATGTGTGCCTTACTACTACTGACTGACTGAATGAGAATGAATGAGGATGAATACATGGTGAGTGATAGGTTTATGTGATGTTAGTGACAGTGTGTTTATCAACAATCCTGACATACCTACACCATGCATGCACCATCAGGATCATCAAGTCGTTGAACATGACATCCATGCATGCATACAGTTTATTGACTTCACCGTACTGTAAAGCCAGAAATGATCGAAATGATCGCGACATGAGTCAAGAAATATTTTGAAATATGATATTCATGAAGTTCATTAGTTCAATAGTTCAAGGAGAAGGTAAAGACCAATTTGGGAAACGCTCCCCTCTCAAAAAATGAAATGGAAGCTCTAATTACTAATTATGTGAAAGATTATGTTTTGACTAATACGTAATGATACAAATTTGCCAAGAAACTGCCTACTAATTGATATATTTGGTAAAATATTATATCTATTTGGACCTGATAGATATTGTGCACGTGTCGCGTAGTCCCATATACATTGTAACTTTACCAAGACTGGGCCAATTTTCGTTTATCATTTTGATGATTCCAGAACCTTGCAGTACACACCAACACTTATATTCTAAATGATCAACCTTTTCTGATCGATTCCACAACGTTTCTGTCACAATGCAATCGCATGACCATTACTGGTCTTTATCTCAAAGTATAATGATATATTGGAATTTGTGTACATTTTTGGCAACCAACAAAAAAGTCCTTACTTTTTACGCTAGTTCAATTCAATAGATAACCTGCCTGATGCCTGCATGGTAGGATATAATATAGGACAGCGTTTGCTTGACACGCTGAGTTTATGAACTGTGCAACACTTGAAATATTATCGCAACCATTGACGTTTAAGTAAAGAATATTTCTTAACATAATTGAATAAAAATGTTTTAAGGTTTCTGTTTATTCAACATTATTGTGAGAAAATATAACTTACTTCCATGAATGATTGAAATTACCTCATAATCTCATATGACTTTCATATCGAATTAATGGTGGAGAGAGACATATTTCTATGAATGATGGGAGTTTAATGTTTTTAACATAAAAGATTTCTATTTTAGAAACATGCATGATTAATTACATGGAATGAAGGAAGTGAGGTTTGAAAAATAGTTAATTTGTTCCGAATAAGAGATTTGTCACAGTTTTCTACACACAATGATAGGAATTACTAATTGCCCTGTAATTTTACCAAGTCCAGTGTATTCGTACTATGACACATTTCACATTATGGGAGCAGAGTAGAGTAGAGTAATATGACATTTCTTTTCATATTGGATGGATAATGTTTCACAGCTTTCTCGATCAAAGAACCATGTTCTCACGACTCACATACATGTACATGTACCTTGATGGCAGAATCTTCACCAAATGCTCAAAGCCATATTCTTTTCATTCTCAGAGTTGCTTCAAAATTGAACAAGTGTTATCTGGTAATAATAAAAATGGCAATAATCTTCACTTGTTAATTATGTGTGTTAGTCACAGAGACAGCATGACAATAATTAGCCTGAATTGCAGATTCTTTGATGATGATGAGGATGATGATTATCATTATTATTATTAACATTATTAATATTATTATCATCATTAATAGTCTTACTTATATTATTATTATTATTATTAATATTGAACATTTATACTGTGCCATGTCTGTCAAAATTGACACTCCTGGCACATAAGTGAGAAATATTAATTTTGGACATACAACTAAAAATTAAAGATAAGGAAAGCAAATAGATATTAACATACTTGTTTTGAGACTATCAATTTCACATAAGATA